AACGGATAAAAGGAAGTACTTCTTCACCCAAAGAGTGATTAACACATGGAATTCACTGCCACAGGAAGTGGTGGCGGCTACAAGCATGGACGGCTTCAAAAGGGAATTAGATAAGCATATGGAGCAGAGGTCCATCAGTGGCTATTAGCCACAAGGTATAGATGGGGGCTCTGGGGCAAGTGATGCTCTGTCTTCTTGGTGCTTGGGGGGTCAACAGTGGGAGGGCTTCTAATGTCCTGGCCCCACTGGTGGACCTCCTGATGGCACCTGGTATTTCTGGCCACTGTGTGACACAGAGTGTTGGACTGGATGGGCCTTTGGCTTGATCCAACATTGGCATCTCTTATGTTCTTATGTTTTTAATCCTGCATAAACAAATGGAGAAAGCACTCTAAAAGAACACAACATTTGTCTTTGTTTGCAAGGGGATAGGAAAGACTAACGCCACTGGACAGTCTTTTACTTAAGCTTTTCTGTTACAGAAGTGAACCTGTTGATGTTCTAAATTCTGATAATTTTATATGGAACCCAAGACTCTCCTAGATCACAATTAATAAAATACAAATCTTGAAAGGGGTTGGAACAAGGATTTAACAGCCACGCTCTCCTCTCTTCTATACACACTCATATACTCCACTAACAGTTTACAATTAACAATAGCTAAAACATTACTAGGTGCAATTTCTCGTAACCAAAAGAATCTTAAACTAAGGCGACTGTATAATATTTTTGTGCGATATATTCTTCAAGACATACACAGCAGCACACATGACTCCAACCCCATTAATCTTCAAAATATCATGAGGCAAGTTAGGATGAGAGAATGACATAACACAGTAATTTCCATGGCATAGTGAAGATTTGAACCCCAGGTGTCCTTAGTCATAATCCAACACTAACCAATACAGCAACAAGTAGTTGCAAAGTTAGGGTATTATTAGGCTACTAGGTAGTTCCCCGTTTAGTTTTTCCCCCCACAATCCAACTTCCTGCATTGCTCTACCTGACAGAAAAATGGAAATGCAGACTGACTCATACCAATATGTCCTAAGATTTACTATTCATAATAGTTGCATCCATAGTAACTGCAGTGACAGTCACTCAACCCTTGGATTTGCAAATATCAACCTTAATTTAGAAGATGCAAAGCAGTTCCAACAGCACATTGCTAAATCATAATGTCACAAGATAAAAATCATGATCTGTCATTCCTTTTACTTTGTGCTCTTATTTAGATATAGATTTTAGGGATAATATCTAACAATCTAACAATACATTTAATCGCTAAGAGAGAATCTGCAGCTCACTAACCAAAGAACGGTCTGAACTTGTTAGGACGCACTCTTTTTTGAAAGGTCAAATGGGCTAATGAAATGAAAGCTAGCTGAATTCCGTGGAGATCCAACTGAGATTACCTTGCCTAAAATAACATACAGAAATCCATATCAAATTGCAGGATACTGAATGTAAGTGGATAAGTTTTAACTGTTCTCTAAGGAGAAGGACAATAATTCATTCCAAACCAGCATTATACTCCCTCCTCCATTTCCCCAGTCCTCTGATATAGAAACTCAAGTGTTGAGGAAGTGCACAGATAGTTTTGGCTTCCAAGAACATAAGAAAATACAGGAAAACGATGCTTGTGTACTAACAGGAATTTGTCTGTGGACATACTTCTAGTGTTTTGCTGGGCAGCCGCTATAACCAGGAACTATCCATGCCTCACTTTGAACTAATTCCTTACACCACCAGCAGCCTTGTGGAGACACTCACCTGATCCACCTGCTGGCCAATCGCATCCTTTTGGTTTCAGCAAACAATGATATTATAGACCAACTCAGGTGCTCCCTGCCTATTACAATTAAGTCAAGTTACAGTAACAGCCGGTAACTGTACACGATCAGAATTAGGCATCTGAGTGGTAAATCACATACTGACAGAAGCATAGACATTTACGTATAGCTTTGTGTTCATATTTGCAGTGTATTAAACATTGCTATTTTATTTCAAACTGGGTCTCTCATGTGCTTTATATGCCCTTTTTCTGACATCTGGAAGGAACCTATGGTTACACACTTTCAACTACACAAATCAGTTAAGTGAGGTTACTCAGATGTGTGAAAAATATGAAATACTATTCAGCTTTATACTTAGACTAGGAGTAAGGCCCGTTGTGGGAAGAAATACAACGAGCTCTAGAAGGAAGTTCCAGGTGAGTGTCCCGGCTGTAGCTGGTGGGGCAGCAGAGGGAAGGGGAAAATAGAGGGAGGCAAGCCATGTCTATTTCCTTCTGCTTAGCTATAAGGCAGGGCTGTCTCAAGTCATTTTGCTTCCCCAAGTGAGTAGTATGAAAGGACAGCCTCACGGTAACGGGTAAGGTTCTCTTCACCCCTGACTCATGTTGATTTGGGGTTATGCAGCGGCACCTAAGGTGGAAAAGCACCTCCTCCTATGCCATGTCTTCTGGGTTCCAAGAGTCTGGAAAGCGGCTCCATAGCCAGTTACAGGGTTGCCAACTCTGGGTTGGGAAATACCTGTAGATTTGAGGGGTACAGCCTGGGGAGGGCAGGGTTTGAGGTGTGGAGGGACCTCAGCAGGGTACAATTCCATAGAGTCCATTGCCCAAAGCAGCCATTTTCTCCAGGAGAACTGATCTTGGAGATCTACAGGTGCTGCCTGGAGGCTTGCAATACTAAGGGGAGGGCCAGACCTGTAGATCTGAGGGGTAGAGCCTGGGGAGGGCAGGGTTGGGGTTTGGAGGGACCTCAGCAGGGTATAATTCCATAGAGTCCATTGCCCAAAGCAGCCATATTCTCCAGGAGAACTGATCTTGGAGATCTCCAGGTGCTGCCTGGAGGCTGGAAATACTAAGGGGAGGACCAGACCTGTAGATCTGAGGGGTAGAACCTGGGGAGGGCAGGGTTTGGGGTGCAGAGGGACCTCTGCAGGGTATAATGCCATAGAGTCCACTGCCCAAAGCAGCCATTGTAATAGCTGGGAAATTTTCTGTAGAGGAAATGTGCTGTGGCTGGGGAACATGGTGATTTCTGGGAGATCTCCAGGCCCCACAGGGAGATTGGCAACTCCAGTGACCATTTAAGGGAAATTGGGATATGTATTTTGGCAACTCCAGTGACCGTTTAAATGAAAACTGGGATATGTATTTTACCTCAGGACACATTCAATGACTCCCAACAAGCAACGTCAAACTGTTTAGAATGTTAGAGGCAAAGGCCAATCAGGCCACATATGCAAATGACCTCTGTGTTCCGACCGACTATTTGGGGGAGAGGAACAGCAAACTGTTTAGAATATTGGAGGGGAGACTCAGGCAACGCAGCCAGTGGGTAGGGACAGCTTCTGAGTGACAAATCAGGGATCCAACTGATTGGGGAGTGTGTGGAATGTTCAGGAGAGTCCACGACCAAAACAGAATTATTATATAGAGAGATATGAATGTTATGCAAGTGCACAAAGTTGAACAAGAAATTTATATCATTGACAAAGTATTTAAAAAATATACTTAAACATAAACAGAACCTCTTTGGAAAGGAGTCATAGCCTGTAGTGAGGAACATATGGAAAGCTGCCAAACCCTTGGGAGAGCAGTACAGCTGATGTTGCATGCGTCTGCATGCAGTAAATTTGCTCTGAGCAGCACAAGTTTAAGAAACTGGATACAGGTAGAAGCAGTCAGAGTTACCCAAATCCAGAAAAGATGAGGAACCATCATCTGCCCTTGCTTCCAGTTAGCACTGTGATAAAAGTAGAGGCAATTAATTGCCTGCACCAAAAAAGGTACAAAGAAATCCCTTTGCACAGTGAATTAGTGAGACATGTTAATGCCATGGAAGTTTTTCAGCAGGCTTTCATTCTATAATTCTGAAAAGTCAATGGCAGTCATACTAATATGCCCAGTGCCTTTTTTTGTACTTTAAAAGCCTCCTTTTCTACCCCTCCCCCATACTGTGGTGGAAAGAATAGAAGCTGACATTTCTTCTGTTCCATCAGAGATCAATGGTAATGGTCACACAATCTGAACACTGGTTCTGGAAAAGGAAGCTTGAAATTTGTGCCATAAAAAAAATTAAGGTAGGAACTGTGAAATTTCAATTATGCAGTTCTTAACTGGCCAAATGGGCAAATCGCTTACTTAAAAAAATGTAGCCAGAATAATTATAAGCCGAACGATGCTGACATAAAATGTAGTCAAAGTGGAGTGCAATGTCTATAAAAACCCACAAGTGTGTGCACCCATTTTGTGTCTCTAATCCCGTCCCCTCTCAGTGCACTTCAGCTTATAATTTCAATAACAGTGCTAGAGTGAGATAATTTCAGGGCTTTAGTAATTTGCCAGGATAGGTTTGCTATAGTGGCAAACGTCAGGCAACCACTAAATCCCACAAACACCCAACTCTTTTACTGTTATTGTTGATTATTCTATTAGTAAATCTAAGGGAAAAGCTCATGCCATTGATCCTCCACCGCCAACAAGCCTCCACCATCTTGCTAGCAAAAAAGTTAGCCCTTTCCTTCTTACCACGGTTTCTGACCTGTCAACCTGAGAACAACATCGTGTAACAACGCAGGAAGTATGTGACCGACTGTTGTCCAATATTGATGTATAAAGGGGTTAGACTGGAGTTTAACATTAGGACGCCTTATTGCTTGTTCTAAGGGATTCCTCTTGAACACCAAATTTAAGTAACACTCTGTAGGAAAAATAAGGGTCAAATGGTTTGAGTCGCTCTTGCTCAAAGCCTGTGCCTGCAGAGAATTCAAACTGACCTGAACATCTTGATTTAGGTACCTATTGCAAAATGCAGAACACACTATTTTTACTGTTGCCAGAAATGGAAGACTTGAATTCCGGCTCCTTTGACTTAAAGGACAATTCAACCATATTAAAAAAGACAGAAAACTTAGTTAATATGCATTACGGTGTAAACATGGGTTTGCACAAAGCCAGAGAAACACAAGACAGAGCTAGTCACCATTACCTTGGGCTTCTTCCTGTAATCCTGAGGTAGATATCATACAGGAATGCTGGGGCCTTATGGCTTACAGCAATCCAGTAGTGATATAAAAGGTGATTGGAGGTTAGATTTACATTGGGCCGTCTGAAGGCCTGTTCGAGAGGATTCCTCTTGAAAGTAGATATTACATGGTATTCTAAGAAAGAAAAGTTGTGTAACAGCTTTGATAATAACCATGTAGATATAATGGACTTCCACGGACATCACAATATACAATACTGCACATTGAATGAAACATATTGCTATTACACATTCTTCATTAACTAAATTGTTTATTTTAAGCAGTGAATCTCACATATAGTGCTAGTTTTGTACTTTCTACTCACTGCAGTTTCTCTTTCTGTTCTGGGCTCTTTGTTCCTACTTAATTATTAACCCCATGTTAGTAAATAATTGAAAATATAGCTGCATAGGCTGATACTACTTATAAGTTGTGCATCAAACAGTGACTGTGCTGCACTACAAAGTTTTAATCCAACATTTGAAATTAGCTGAAATTTCATACATATTCAAGATATATTTTAACAATTCACTAATTAATTTTAGAGTCTTACACTAAGGTCTTGGATTGCAAGTGTCTACTAGCTTCTTGTTCCCAAAAGTCAGACAAAATAAAATAGTCCCTATTTTATTGTATATACCAGATCTCTAAAAATATAGGACTCTGTTTCAGATAAAGCAACAACTAGCCTATAATTGATACATTAATT